CAGGACAGCCCTGTCCACCCCTTCACCTACACCGACACTCACTTTCATAGATCCATCCCCTCTAGCCAGCTTCGCTATTTTAGGATATTACCTTTTTGTAAACATGAATCTGGCGAAGAAGATACAACAAACTCGTAACACGAACAGACTCAACTAGAAAAGTTTGTAGTTTGAAAGGTTCTTCAAATTTCATTACAGTCTATATAATATTTATTTTAATATAATTTATGTGCATATTTTAGATACCCAAAATTGTGTAGAACGCAAAAGACTTTTAATCTCAACTTATTCTTCGCATAATATTTTAAATAGCTATTACTGATCGTTTCAACAAGAATGTGTTCCTCCAAGAACTCTGTCTTTCACTAGTTAAAGAATAATAGAAGTTGCTGTTAAAAAGAAGAGCAAAATAACACATTCTTATAAAGCGTAACCTATTACCTCAGCAGATGGTCGACTATTAGATAAGTTCATACTCATCCTTCAGGGAAAACAAAATCAGTTTAATCAAAGAGGCAGAAAGATTTAACTGTACCACCAAATGTAGTAATACAATACGAGCGTCTAAATGTGAAAAGAGTAGCGATGAAAAACATCGCAGTTTTTTAAATGAAGTTCTACGTCCTGTAGTTGGTAAAAAAATTCTTCTTCTACTCGATTTTTCGAGAATTCAAAATGATCTAAAAAAATTAGAGCAATATTGCTAAATTAATATAGTCAGTTATTGATTTTTCCCAAAGGATCACCTGGTCCTATTCAACCAGAAGTAAGCACAGGACAAACTTTTAATCCATACTTTCTTCAATTTATTCCTGTATCCTAAATATCATAGCTATTTTATAAACTATAATTAATTAAATAAATACAAAAAACAGCAAACAATGTATAACTTTTCACTAATACATGTATTACGATCCAAAGTACATTATATAACAAGATTCGAAATGAAAATGGCGTACCATTGCATAGAAATATCTATGAATAGTATCAATAACAGAAAATTGAATAGATGCAAGAATATGTGTTTAAAGAACATAGGTACTTATAATGAAAGTTCCTATATAAAAATAAAATAATTATTATTCAAATAAATGTTCATATTTTCTCATTAATCTGATGAATAAGATGTTGTTCAGGATTTAGACTGGTTTTTCTTTATTGTATAACTAATCCAGCTCCATAAAACTGTCTTTCTACACTTGCAGAAGTAGCTGGTATTGAAAAAATACATCGATCAAATCTTTCTTGTTGATCGTTTCAGAAGTTTAGTTTTGTGTCGATGGGGGTGTTTTATTTCAATGATACCTACACGCACACCCCACACCCTTTTGACAAAGTGATTATCGGCAAAGTGTAGCAGACCTTAACAATATCATTGCTTTTTTGATCAGAAATAGATTTATCATTCTAGAAAAAGAAATATATTGCGTGTAAAGATATTTTTTCCTCACTTTTTCAATACGAGTAATAATATTGTTGAGCCCAAGTTGAGCTGTATATATTCCTTTAGTTGTATTAAAAATTCCTTGATTTGCAATACGTTCAATAATATTGTTCATAGTTGTTTGAGTTTAATTTTTTCTTTCTTCGTTTGGAGGTGATATGAAGTTCTATAGATATGACTATATCCAACAAGGTGTTGGATATTCTCCATCAGTTGGTTTATAAAATATAATCCTTGATAACTAGGAATAGCAGCTGGTACTCCATATTTGCAAAAATATTCGGTAAATAGGTTTTGAGCAGTTGTCTCTGCAGTACAATTAGGTAATATGACGGGTGAAATAATCAGTTATAACCAGGACGTGTCGATTTTCACGAAGAGTACGTTTTTGAAGGGCCGCAGTAGTCAATTAAGAAAATCAGGGAAACAATTTTTACGTCCCTCTATATGAATAACCTTTTCAATATTGTATTCTTGAATTAAATTAGTAATTCGTTTTACCCGTGCATTATGTACTCATTTTTCCATAATATGACACAAAGGGCAATGATCATTACGTAGAATAATGCCGCGACCTAATAGGATAATTTGGATACGTGTAAAATACTTGTACATTGCGAGAGCCTCTTTCTGTATAGTACTATATTAACGTTCACATGGTGTCATTACTTGTGAATGGTAGTATAAGTTGCGAATTTCACCGTTTACCTTTTGTTTTAGTACACCACCTATACCAATACTACTAGCGTCAGTTGTGAGCATTAAACGAATGTTCTCTATCGGATAATTAAGAAATAACTGCTTACTAACAGGCATCGGTTGTAATTCATGAAACGCTTTCGATTGAGCATATTGCCATTTAATTTTATGTCGTTTATCTTTCGTTAAATTGGTGACGTCGTGTATTGGTGCTGCGACAGTAGCAAACTGAGGAAGAAATTTTCGATACCAATTCAAAGAGCTGATAAATTTATTGGCTTGAACGGGAGTTTTTGGTTCTTTAATCGTAATAATGGTGTCGATTCGTTCTTGTAAAGTTGTAATGCGATGCTTACTGGTAGTGTGACCTAGATAATCAACTTGATTAGTGGCAATGACACACTTAGGATGATTAAGAATGAGATTATTAGTTCGTAACGCAATGAGAACAGCCTCTAAATGTTGAAGATGTTCTCCGAAAGATTTAGAAAAAAGTATAATATCATCCAGGTAAACGGAAGAAAATGATCAGTCATGATCTTTTGAAAGGTGGGAAGCGAATTTTTCAGTCCCATCGGTAAGACATTAAATTGATATAAGCGAAATGGGTAACAAAAGCAGTTTTTTCTTTATCTGCGTCACGTATCAATATTTGATAAAATGATAGATAATATTATTATTCCCATAAATTCCATGATCGCCTATTACAAATAAATGAAATAATTATGTCACTATGATGAATGAAATATAAATTAAGTTTACCTCTTAGAATATCTTCAATTGAAGTATGTAAAAAATGATCTTCTATAGCATGCATAAATGCATTTGAGTTTATTATTAATTAAAACTGAAAGTTTGCCAACTCTTCTTAGAGCTTCGTGATGACTTTGTATTGTATCCGAATGTTTATTGACAAGCCGCATTGTTTGATCAGTAGCTTGTTGTGTATTGTTCACTTCCATAGCTGGTTAGAGTTCACCTTCTTTAAGTTGTAGAATTTGAGCTTTCTGAAGTGTTGAATATGATTCTTCTATTGTCTCCAGTTTATTCTTTAAGTGCATTATTGTTTGAATCATATTCACGACATCTAAGGATAGCTGCGCTACCCATACCAATAGAAATTGGAATTAAATAACACATCTCTGCTACCATTGAGATGACTGTCGGAAACGTGATAATTTTGTTTGCTGGTCTATAATCTGATTTATATTGTGAAATAAGTCCAGAAGTTGAGTGAACAATATTCAGTCTTGCTATTATCAAATCATCTGATTTGAAGAATTTTGTGAGGGTGATTACTAAAAACAAAACAAATCTCAGATTAATACTTGCCATAAGATCAACTATTTTATTGTATAAGACCTTAATCTTCCTTTCTTTGGTAATATTCCTCTTCAAAATGACTGTTCTTATAAATTTATTCTCTCGACTGTATGGAGGGTGATGGGCATTGAAGTGAAATGCATTTCTCTGTCCGTGGTCTTCTAGCAGGGCAAAGTTAGTACATATTGTTTTGGTATCGGTGGTTCAGTAAGAATTGTTTGATTCCATGAGTGAAGTTCTATTCTACAAAGTAATATGAAAAGAAAGCAAAATAAGACAAAAACGAAAATAAGAACCGAAACTTACTTATTAAGTTAAAGTACTGAGTGAGTAGAATTGTTTGATGAATGATATGAAAAATGTGCAAACTGCTATATATATATATATATTGTACCAATAGATTATACCCCCTTCATATTCACATATCCTCGTTACCTTATTATACCTTTCTCATATTCACATATCTACGTTATCTCATTTTTAGATCAGCCTTGACTCATAGTGTAGATATAATAAACGTAGACGTCGGTCTTCTATGAGCGAGTGATGATATAAATATATATATCCTTGTGTCTATGGTTAGTAAACGATAACCTTCTATCTTATATAAGAAAATGGAAGAGTCAAGAAAAAGAATGTGCGTGGGAGAGATAACGTGGATATAAAAGGAGGAGTCGAAGAGTAAGACGAGGAGTATAATTTTAGTGAGTGAGTTGGAGCATTTTATATAGAAGACTGGTAAGAACATTATCTTCTTTTTACAACATTCGTGTGTATTTATATTTATTTATTTTATTTTATATTATTCTTTGTAGTGGTATTAACTTATCAGCTATTGTATGTGTTTATTATTTAATCAATCTAAATAAATATTATGAAACTCGTAACGTATATTTCATTTTGTGAATTAGAAACGAAAAAAGTATTTTTATCAAAGAAATATTTCGTTACATATATATATATTAGAGGAAAGTATGAGTATTCTTGTTATCACCTTCAACCATGATACGCCGTTCTCTTTTTTTTCTTCTCTTTACGTCATAAATACATTGTTGAGTTATATAAACATAATAAGATTCTTGGGTTATTTGCATGTGCGCAGAATTTTTGAGTAATATGTATTTTTGTTCTTATTTCTAGATATATATACGTCGATGGGTCAGTGAACGATGAGCACATGAGTGTTTAGGTCCATAATATCGACGAAAACAAAGAAAGCCAAGGCAAATATAAATCGACATGGATACAGGAATCTATCGATGTCATCTTTTCCAGGCCAGCGCCCTCACCCACACTCAGATACTTGTGTGCGTAAGTATTCGTGTGCTCATCGTTCCGGTTCCCATTCAAAACTTACACACAATGGCAGTAAACACAAGATCAAAAACAAAACAGACGACCGTCGAACCAGTTACTACCAGCGAGGAAGCAGAACAGACGACCGTCTAGCCAGCAACTACCAACAAGGAAACAGAACAGATGCCCTCCGAACCAGTTACTACCAGCAAGTAAACAAAACAGACGACCGTCAAACCAGCTATTATCAGCAAGCAACCAAAAACACACGAATTTCTCAACAAACTAACTAAAGACGACGCGAAACTTTTTATAAACCAGATTTATAAGTCTACCAGTTGTGATTTTTTATCAACAAAGAACACATCTTTCCATTTATCGATCTGGCTGAGCTTCGAACTCTGGGAAAGTATTCGTGACCAAGACGGTGAGTAATTCTTTATTTTATTGATTAGTTGGCAGTTATTTTTCTTTTTAGGTGATTATTTAACTAAATGGATGCGATGTTATGGTTCACCAAAGACAAGAAACCAATGGAATCATCAATTTTTTCTCATCACATTGTGCTTCGTTCAAAATTAGATAAATTACCACTACTTTCTACCAAGAAAACAGGTTACCGAGGTGAGTACATACAATTTTTCATAAAATTTAACCTGTATTTTCTCATTTTTAGCATCTCATCTATGTGATACAACTGGGTGTTTATCCGAAAGCCATATTATTGTCGAAACAGAAGAACAAAACGATTCTCGAAGATTTTGTCAAGGCATATTTTTACACATCTATCAACATTCTAATGGCAATAAAAAATCATTCAAATACAGTTGTCGCAAGATCAAAATTATGATAACAGATGATAGTAAACTTTCATCTCTTTGTGGATAGTTTTTTCTTTTGTTCAAGAAAATTTGTATTTTTGAAAAATATTTTCAAATTTTCTCTGCACTATATAGAAGGCAGTAGCTGCCTAATTCGAGTACGAATATAAATGGAAAAAATTCAAAACCAAGTATTTTCACAAAAAAAGAAATAGAAATAGATTTCATAATTATAGTTTGATAGTTTCGAATCAAATGCATAATACTGACAACACAAGCAAAAATAAAAAGAATACAAACATAACATAGCTTGTCTTTTCAATACAATGAGACGTCGATAGATATAGAATGATTAATAAAATTTCTTCAATGCGTATGAGAAAATGAAATGAAAATGAGAACAAACTGCTCATCCTCAATTTAAATGAACGAAATCCTCTTTAAAAACAAAGATAAATAACATCTTTATCGTTATAAAATAAATATAAAACAAACAATAAAGATTCTTTTTTCTATCAAAATGTACTTTTTCATTTTCTTGGACTAGCTCACATAAAATTATGATATTATATCGTTAACTATAATATAGAATAATGTTTTCCGTATATATCGTTTCTTGTATGTTTCTTTTTTTGATGATATGGCATATAGACATGATGATGATAAGAAAGAGCATTGATAAATGTATTCTGTTGTTATGCTGGGTATTTGATATGTGCTTATTGCATGAAAATATGTATATTTATTCTTTATTTTAACTTTATTTTTATAATTAATTGAAAAATATATTATTTGATTGTGAAGAATAAAACATATATGAGATATTTATTGTCATTAATATAAATAAAAACATAAAATAAGAATAAATAAGTACGAAATGATTTAAATAAGAATAAAATAAATATTTTCACAACATAAATACAATTCAGTTTTTTCTTTTTTTTTCTTTTAAATAATTAATTTGAAAAATTGAATAATAAAATAAATTGAAATAAAATAAAATATATTATTGTTGATATTTTCTAAAAATAAATTAATGGTAAAAAAAATAAAAAGAGTTTATATTAAATGAATTTATTTACTTATTCCATTATTTGTCACTGTTAATGATCGATTTGCATTAAGACAATTGGTTAAATTAGAATTACAATTATCTTGAGCACAAAAACAAACTTGCTGAATAACAGTAGAATTATCAGTTGGATTTGTTGCATTTGAAAATATATAAAAATATGATGAACTTTCATTATAATATTGTTCAATATTTGAAACTTGTTCAGAATAAATAGACATAATTTCTTCAACTAAGAAGAATCCATAGTCATCACTGGTCAATGCTATTGATTCAGATTGATCTCCATCAAAAAAGATGAGACATAAAACTGTATTGTTAATAACATAATCATTACATTTTGTTATATTAATATAAGGACTTTCATTTTGATACATTATACAATGATAACTTACACTTAACGATTCACTTACAGAAATTTTTGAATCCATACATGAAATTGATGTTTCTAATTGAGGAAGAAATGAAGGTAAAACAGATGGTAAAGAATTTGATTGAGTTTGACTTTGAACAGAAGATTGACATGAATCAATATCTGTATTACAAAAATCTGTAGCACAAATACAAAGTGTTGATATATTAAATGTTTCATATGAAAGTGGTGAACAAATTCCATAACCAACATCAGTTTTATCAGAAAATCCTTGACATCTCTCTGAAATACTTTTATATGTATTTGTTATTTGAATACAATCATTATTAATTGATGAAACTGAACCGTTACTAAAAGATTGATAAACACAATATTCACAATTAGTAACATTATAAACATTATTGTAATCATTATATTGACATGTTAAACTTAAACGATTTTTTGTTTGATTAGTTATCATAAATTGATCAATATTCATAAATCCTTCACAAGTTATAACAAAAAATAAAATTAAGAAAAATAATTTTTGTAACATTATTGTTTTTGAAGTTTTTCTTCAAATAAAATAATATATAAAATGATAACAATTCTAGGAAAATATTTTTTCTTATATAAATTTTGAAAACAATTTATTTGTTTTTTCTTTATTTTAAGTATGACATTTAAGAGAATAAATTTTATAAATATTCAAAAATATTTTCTCGGTAAATATAAAAAGAACTTAATAGCGTTTAATAGCTTCCACGAAAACTATCAATTGTCGTCTGCTTTCAACATATAATTTTGAGAAAAATATTTCTTTTCTTTTATCAAATAATAATTATAGTCTTTTCACTCATTTTCTTAACATGCAAGTAAATGAATTTATTTATTCATCTATCAAGATTTCAGTGACCTTGACATAAAATTAATTAATTTTGCACTTATACTATATTTTATTATCGAACAACACATTTACATATTTTAAAACTGTACGAGTATAGACATCTGTGTCGCTATCTATTACTTATCTATTTTATTCGTTCCTATAATTAAATTATTTTATATCATTTGAATATCAAAAATGTCTTTATCGTTACGTCCTTTTGTAGGTATTGCTGTCATTGCTGTTTATCCTAGTCGTTATCCTCAAAGTGTACTTATATCTGAACGTTTATCAAGTCATGGTAAAGGTGGATATCAATTACCAGGTGGTCATCTTGAATATGGTGAATCATTTGATGAGTGTGCAAAACGAGAATTAAAAGAAGAGACAAATCTTGATTGTTCATCGTTTAAATTAGTACATGTTACAAATACAATTTTTTCTAAAGAAGATGGTGGACCAAAACATTATGTTACACTTTTTATGAAAACAATTGTTCAAGATGATTCAACATTAAAATGTATGGAACCACAGAAAAATTCCGATTGGATTTGGACGAAATGGAATGATTTAAAAACAAAAAAATTATTTACACCTCTTCAACAAGCAGTTGATGATTCCAATTTTAATCCATTTGATGATTGAAAATTATTTTTTATTTTAATTATTTTCACTATTATAAGATATTATCTGATGACTATTTTTAAAAATAAAAATACTACTTAAACATTTTTCTTTTTCCATTAATAAGCGGCATATAAGACGTGAAAAATAGATGTTATAACTAATTTAATTTATTTTTAAAGTTTGATAATCTATATTATGTAAGATCTCAACGATATTTTAGAGACATTAAAGCATGAGTTTAACAGAAGGTAACAGATAATGATAAGATTATTTCCAGCGTGGGTGTGTTGGTAGTTGATTTCTATTGAAGATTTTTGGATCGTTTCCTAAGTTTATGTGTTTGTAAGTATTCAAAAGACTCACTTTACCGAGTAAATCTACGCTATCTTCTGTACTGGTTACTTCTGACGACATATATCCTTATCTAGCACATAATATGTACTACACATTATAATACAGCTAGACTCGAAATTCAATTTATTATCTCAATGTACAAGAAAAGATCAGTTAGTGCATTTATACTAGAAGTTTATTCTTTGTGACAACGAGTAGCTTGATGATCAAATTCTGTAGAAAAACTAAACCCGGCTCGAATTTATTCAATAAAATATAATCTCTTATATCATCAATATCAAGCAAATTTTCTAAAGTTCCATTTCTTCCAAAGCATTATCAATTAGTAATTTTAAACGTGCCATATTTACAATAATAGATGCTTGGTTTCGAGCATCACCACCTCTTGCATAATCAAATTCATATTCCTTTCGTCCATAGATCTGATAATATTGTTTTCGAACATGAGAAATATGATTTAAGAATGCACCATCCATTGTACCACTTTCACCCATATTAAAACCTTGCAGTGGATCAGTAACATAATAATCCATTACTATTGCATGTGCACCATGTGGTAGCATCGGTAGTGTTAATGATACACCACCACATGGTGTAATTAAAATAGTTGTATGTAATAGTTTCTCAATCTGTTTATCAAATGGAATAGTATGCCATTCAATTACCTCAGTAGATATATTCGGATAAGTAGTTCTAATGAATATTTCTACTTCTTTCAAGTTCACAATTGCACGATGTCTCTTTGCACCAGAACGCATGTTTACAGAATGTGATTTATTAGTAATGATAATATGATGCTTTTTCGGAATAAAATTAGGGTCAAATCCGTTATATTTTATAATTTTTGATCTCCAATTATAGAAAAGTGCTTCACGTCCATGATTTTCTTTTATTTGTATTATTTCGAAAATAATCATGTGTCCTCCAACAAGTAAATTATCAAAACATACATATTTTGTATTGAAAGATTTCATATATGCCTCGAATTCTACCATAGGATTATCTGTTAATGCACCTATTACATATTGATAATATGTGCGGAATAGAGTTGTATTTGCTGTTTTATTTAAATGCATAATAACTAATTTCCGATCAGCTATATTCATTCGTTCCATCGAATATGAGATGGATCCAAACTCTTCCCACAGTCCATGTCCAATGTTGACAGGAGCAAAACGAGTTTTGAAAAGACTATGTAATTGATGAAGTCTTGTGAAGTGTTTTGTTGGATATGTTACATCTACAATAACTGGTGTAAATGGTGTCCCTCCACCCATCGAAAGTGATACAAATCCAGTTTTATTATTATTTGTACTGAACTGATATAACATACCTTTAGCTGAGTCATAAAAAATTGGTTTTGATTTACTTTGAGCTAATCGAAAATACTCAAATCGACTAGTATCTTTGTTATAGCACGTATTTTTAAATATACAAAGACGATATTCCCATTCATTAATATCGTTTCCAGCTCCGGTACAATGAAATTTAGAGAAATGTTGATGTTTTTGCCGCCGTAAATAGGATATTGCTATTTGATTACTGAATATGTTCTTTTTCGCAAAACTGAGTGTTGCTCTGTTAACATTTAATATGTTGCTATTTTGTAAAAATAATAGATTTGATTTAAAAGAATTATTGAAAATCAAGGAGAACATAATTGCACCCATAGTAGCCGAAATTATCACAAAATGAAATGTTTTTTTACAATAAAATCGTGATTTATCATTTGACTCTTTTCTCACAAATACATCAGCCATTTAAATAAATAGTATT